GTGTAATAATACCGATATTTATATTTGCAAAATTGTTAACAATATCATCGAAGTCTATGTTAGAACATAGTTCATGTTCAATGGCGAAAATGGCCAGCTCCTTTAATCTGTCATATGTCAATTTGAACATAAATAATTTTTCATTCTTTTTTTTGAGAAAGAACGTTCTCCATTGGCCACATTGACTAGAATAGTTAAAAGTATCCTTAGATACTATACTATTAGTTAACGAAGTTGTATTACACTAATTTTTATTTATTAATTGGTCGCTATATCGATTTCGGACGAGATTCGTCCATCATTAGGCGATACGTCAGAATAGTAAAAAACGAATCATGAAAATAATGAAGATGTTGGAATGTTGAAGTTGTACGTTGTTATCTGTAGTATTGTGAAAGATAAAAATAAAGCATGTACGATGAAGTACTTCCAATTAATAAATGTTAATAAAAATTACTGTAATACAACTTCTTTAACTATTAACACACTAATTGCAAAATGGAGCAATGCATCAACAATACTATACGATATTTGGAAAGTTAGCACTCAAATTGTTTAGCTGTATATAGTTCAGTACCTATTTGTAAAGGTTTTGTTTACCTTTGTGACTTTGCACGATTCCTTCACTTCCCGTCTATAACGATTAAGCCGTAATAAGCGAAGCAGCGACATTGGTATATGTGTATCATCGCCGCCGGCGCTAGCTTATTCGCTGTATATCAAGTACGATAAACTAATTTTAAAAAACCCTGCTATCCTATTAGATAATCGCTAATTAGTGGCCTGGCAGATGGCTATATTTTATAATCGCTTTCAGTCAATTGACATTACTAAGATTTATTATTATACTACATTATAATAGAACATTTTTTTTATTTTGAAATTTCAAAAACGCCGCCTCACCCCACGACCGGCCCTGAGTGTACAATGCATAACAATTTGAGGCGGTAATTGGATGTTTTCTTTCCAGGCCTACTTTGGAGACAAATGTTTCGAAACATAGTTTTATTGCATTGTCACAGTGATATAAAAAAAAAAAGATGTAAAAAGTCTTTAAACAGCACTGGTCCACCAGGTGGAATGGTGTATTTGCCAATTCATTTAATAGTTGTGAATTCTGTTGTTCTGCGGCGATCCAAAACACCAGCCAAAACAAAAAGAACCAGTTAAAATGGGGAAATATCTTAAACAAATCGCAAAAACCTTGATGGCACTTATATTTTGTTCAGTATACAACCTTTTCTGGACATCATTACTAATTCCTTGAGCTAAATGATTGGACTTCAGAATTGTACCTACCTACTTAGCGTACAGGGAATATCTCAGACTTTCATGAGTTAGACAAACAGGATCAAATTTTTTTCTCTTCAAATCTTTGTGAACAAACATTTCACTCATTCTTTTCCCCTTGGAGTATTTTCCCTGAGCAGCTTTTAAAGTGGATGGTTTAATCCATTGACACTCCTTCCTTGTTTTGAATTTTCCTTCTTCTTCATTTACAGCTATTATGAGGGCGTTAATATGTTTACACACCTTCCACCCACACCAGCGACACAATTACATTCGCTTTTAACTTTACGTTCAGAGTCCAACTAGAAAAAAATATCCGTCAATTGTCGTGCGGCAGCAAAGTAAATACCTACTGTTAATATTACTGTATATGGTGTTTTCGAAACATTTGTTTGCCTAACTACCCGTGCTGTGATCTGACCAGCTCTTTCAACAATGGTTTGCCTCCAGTAATTTCTTTTCTTTCTTTTTTAGATGTTGAGCCACAGTTTACAGCAAAAATAGGTTTAAATCCACACTGAATTTCTACTTCTGTAAAATAACGGACATTTAGAAGATAACCTAAACATTTTTTTCACCTCAAATTATTTGATTATTTTTACTGTTTCATATAATATTTACGTAAGTCTCTATTTAGGAACGAAATTTAATTTTAATATAAATAAACAATAATGCAACAAGAAAAGAACGTGAAAAACTATAGTCTAATTTCTTAAACCGTACGGACTGCTACAAACCACTCACTAAGGCCGAATTTTTATTTAACATGCATGGTAAACAATGCGATCAAAGATTTGTTGCACCTCACGAAGTGCCAGAGTCCTTGTGTGGAGGCGCTGGAGTGCAATATTCGCTTCTCGCTTATATGCGACCACTTGGGAAGTTGTTTTGTAACGCCACTGTATATCGAATTCGCCTAAAAACGCCCGACCACAGAATATCGTACTCTATATTCTGTGGCCCGCTATGCTGTTCATCGACTAATCAAGTGGGGAGAACGTAACCTAAAATCTAAATTTAAAATCAAACACAATTTAATGATGTTTCCTACACGTTTATGTTCTGGAATAGAAAGATTATGTGGAACGTATATTAACAAATTGTGCATTAGTACAACAGCTGTTCATTGTCGTGAAGTAGAAGATCGTAGACTAATGTTACGATCAATGCCAGCCCTCGATGAAGGCACTGTTGGCGAAAAGGCAATAGATATTGATACACAATTGGCACAGTAAGTCATTAAATCAGCTTCTTAACTGAATTATAGCAATTGTATGTTTAGAAAAGGAGATATATTCCCCGATATTAACACACCTACTAGGTTATTTTACGGAATACCATTTAAAGATATTCCAATATGTAATATTAAAGTGTCCAAGAACAACACAATTTTATGTTTGACCGATGCGAAAGGTGAGTTATATAAGATTTACCTCTGAGAAACAATGTAATTCTTTCAGGTGTCCCTAAACTTACCAGGTCTTGCGGTGTCGAAGGTTTTAAACATACTAAAAAGGGTACAAACATTGCAGCCCAAGCAACTGCTATTAGTATTGGATTGGTAAGGATGTGTTAACGTGCTTCATACATTAGTAGAATACAATTTTAGCAAGCAAAGGAACAAGGTTATCGGACTGTTCGGGTGCGAGTTGGTGGTTTAGGTCCTGGGAGAATGGTATGTTGAATAAGCTGTTAATTTTGTTTGTATTTTTCACCTTTAAATTTTAGTCCGCAATAAAAGGGTTACAGATGTCCGGTTTGAATATTGCTTCTATAACAGATGGGACCAAAGTGTCTTGGAATCCGCCTAGACCTAGAAAAGCAAAAAAATTGTAGTTTATTTTTTTTACAATAGCATTATTAAATTCTTGTTAAAATAATTTTCAAATATTGTATTAGATGAATTGGACATGGCACCGGGTAAGTCTGATTTTAGTACCTACCTAACTTCCATCATGAAACAAATTCCGGGACGATGATTGGAGAACTTTATTCCTGCAGGAAAGATAGCCGTATTCCCATGATGGCTAAGTTTTGCAATTCTTGAGAACCTATAGGAAAATAGTATGGAAAAAGAATTCCAGTGCTCTACCGCTATGGGAAAACCAAACTCTATGTAAATGAAATCAAAAGTTATTGTCTCGGTTATTGTATTACTTAATTTATTCTGTATTCCACACTTAAATTCTACAAATTTTGATATTTACAAAAGTGGCCTACTAATTGTTGAAGAGCCTTTGCATCTTTTTTTGAAAATATTGAATTAAGTGGGGGATAACTACTAGAGTACCTTTTGCAGACTACTTAATCTCGCTTTTCTTTCTCTTGCCATTTTTTTTTAAGTCTTGCCATGTCTAAGGTTTAGAATTACAGTCATATGTATTTGGTATTTTAATAATACTTGCCCTTCGCCATGCATTCCAATTTTTCTTGAGTCCAGGGATTAAATTCAATTTCACTTCAATATTTTGCCCCTTTTTTTATATGAAAATTACTGCTAAATTTACTTTTTCGAAGTTGTTGGTTACTCCATAATAAAATGAATTTTTGTTTATTTGCGCCTCTGTCATTTGGTGTTCCACTAATAGAAATTTAACTTAGAAGTACCTAGGGGTACCTACTACGTCCATTTTTTAACGCATTTTCTAACTCATGTTGAAAGGCGCGATTCTGACCACTTTCTCCGCTCGAAGCCTTAACTACTGCATTTGGTAGGTGATAGCTCTGGCATCTCAACCAAGAAAAATCTTGACGATTAAGGTCGATTCTCATTAGAGCAGCACCGAGCGGCGCGGCGCTAGCAGCAAATTGTAGGGGGTATTCCCACTTATGCAGCATTTGGAAGCGTGGCGAAGCAGCGTTTATGTTTATCAGTTTAAGCTTTGAATATAATATATTCAAAGGTTTAAGTGAGAATGTATTCTTACACGCTCGAAAGAAGAGCCATCACTATGCCATGTACACGACGAAAAAAGAAGAAAAAGAAAGCGGACGAGTACAATTAATTTTTCTATTCTTTCTCCGTCCATAGCGAATCTACTAACACACGCAAGCTCAACACAAAAGATAAATAAATGCTTTTCACAAGCCGCAGCACCACGCCGATCTACTTCGCTCCTCGATTCCCACTTGTCCGTCTACACGCAGAGCGGCGCGTTTCAAAGCAGCGCCGCGTATTCCAATGTTTCCCGACGCGTTTCAAATTTGCTGCGCGGCACCGCGCCGCTCTGCTCTGCACCGCTCTGCCTAGGTGAAAACGGATCCACTTATTTACATGCGAACAATCGAGAGCAGCATTTCGCCGCGCCGCGCTGCTCTGCGCCGCACTGCTCGATGTACAATCTACAATGTTAACACAATAGTCCCAGCAAACACTGATACATACCTTTTATGTAAAAGTTATATATCAGAGTTACATACACAATGTACCAGTAATGTAAATCTACTATTACAAGTAAGTTACCAGAAAGTTAAAATTTCCCACTCAAAGCAACACCACAGTAACATAACAGTTATATCGTTGAGTTATGTTTATATTATGTAACAGAAATATGTTGCAGTTATAAAACTTAATCATATTACTATTATATATACTATTAATATATTTGTTAGGTATCTATGTTATATAACTGCTATTAAAGGTGTTATATTACCATTACTACAAAATTGAAACAAAAAATGAATGTGAGGCAGGATAATTAAACAGTACATCAATAAAACAAATTTTATTACCTCTGAATATGTACAACATGTTTTTTACTTTTGTCTGTTTAATCTTTGTTTAGCGAAGCGGAACCACTCGCCACAAGACTTTTCGAAGTCGTTTTCTTTTAATGTTGGGTACATGGCACAGAGAACCTCTGAAAAATATCTAAATTATTCAAATATAATTACTTAATAATAAGCATACCTTTGATTATAGAAACAAAGTGTAACTTATGAATAGCAAAATTATTTTTTCTACCCAACCACGAGCATTTTTCAGCACATGCATTTGTGAATATTCTTTGCAATATTCTCACCAAACTATCCTTTGAAGAAGTTCCTCCTATTCCATTTATGTATCTTCTCTACAACAGAAGAAAATTATTCAATTTCAATTGCAAATGCTTCAAATACATACAAAATTAATAGCAACTTCTTTGTTTTCAATAATTACTGTATCGAATGTTGTTATTGCATCAGTGGATTTTAACGGGAAATACTCCTTGATTATTTTTAAACCCTCATCCTCTTGGTTAGAATCTGAAATTTGGACGCCTTTCTCCAAATTCTGAATGCGTTTATCAATGCTTTTTAATTGCATATTTATTGAGACAAACATCCTGGATATTTTTTGAAAATGTTCTAAAAAATTAAAAATTGGAATAAAATTGCAAATGTTTGATTATAACATTTACCCTGAATCATGCGGCTACTAATTGTGTCTTCTGTTATATTAGATTCACCTGGAAACAAAAGCAAAGTAAAACACTCATTGATATGTGATTAGGTAAAACTTACTTAAACCATCAATATGTTTGTTTGTTTCGTGCGAGGCCGGAGTACGAAAATCTGCTGATTGGTTTTGTACCACTCTATTTGGTATGACTACAACTAGAATGCAATACATTAGATAAAATATCATTGACAAAATATTACCTTCTGCGTCAACATGTCTATAATCTTCTAATTCTAAAAAATAAATATATAAGTTAGTTAATCAAAAGTAGCGAAATGTTAAAAGTCAGAGAGTTTGGATTAAATAAAAAACAAACTTTCGCTTGTAGAGTACGCAAATGATCTTGTTCCAAAATGGAAGCACGTTAATTACCTATTCAAAGGTTGTAAGAATCTACAGCAGTGGCCCACTCCTTAGCTTGAGACAAATTGAATAATTAACAAATTTTGCGTCTTCAGATAAAGACTAGGTATGTCATTTGGCGGTTTTATTTAGATCTCTTTGAGCATATGAAAGTTTCCATTTTTAAACAGTACCATTTTCCTCTAGTTATTTTTAACAAGCGTGTTTAAAGTACAATAAATAACAAGTACTGTCATAAGTAATACAACAAATAACAGTAGGTATTTGCGAACTCAATTGTTGGATCTAAAATCCTTACCAAGATTTGTTGAAATATCAGAAAAAATAACCGGCATTGTCTGAATATCTTCCTCTGTAGTTATTGCATTTTGTGCTGTCAAAGGACTAAAATAAAACACTAATGTAATCAAATACAATGAACCAAAACGAAGTGTTTTTACCTTGGCGAAGAAAAATTATAAGTGGAAACACCGATGGGGAGTTGTGGAGGTAAGGAAACATTTGTAAATTTTCTCCAGTCTGTAAAAACACAATGTACTTAACTCAAAACAAACGGGTACAATTTACTTTTAGAAGAAACTGGAACTGCTAATTCATCTTCGTCTGAAACTACGAACCTTGTTGGTTGAATTACTTTTCGTTTTCCGCGTCCTTTCTCTCCCTCGTCGGTAGACACATAATTGCAATCTGTACTTAGTTTTCTAGCTCTTTCTAAAGACACTGCAAATTCTAATATATAGTATATTGAAATATAATATCAATTTACCTTCCAACGCTTCCACTTTAACATTTTCAAGAACCCACTTGTCAGGATTTGGTGGTACCATCCTCTTAATTAAAGAAGTCACATTTTTGCTATGCACTGGCCACCAACATTTTGTATTACTTTCACTCAGCCATGACATCGGAACCTCCGAGGTGGAATCTTCCTCATCCTCATCTTCACTGTGTTCTCGGATAAATGAGACAACAGCATAAGACATTCTGTAAATAGCACATTAATGTTTACTAACAAACACACTTCTACTAACTCTCTTAAGCTTCAGGTACGTGCTAGGTAATAACATTAATGCTAATATCAAGTATAAAATTTAACAAAACATTTTTTCAACGTATTGAAGTTTCACAATACAGTAGTAACGGCAGCAAAACATATTCACAGTTTGAACAATCATCATTATACAGTTTCTTTTAATTTTTTTCAAATGGAAATGTGTTTTTTAGATTTTGTTCATTTACAAAACTCATTCTAATTTTTTTTTATTGTAATGTACAAATATGAATGCTTAGGTAATAAAGTCATAATAATATTATTGCTAATACATAAATATAGATACCTAAATATAAAATGTAATAAATAATTTTTTCGACATATTTAAGTTTCAGAATGAAGTAAGGGCAATAAAACATATTCACAGTTTAAATAATCAATCATTATACACTTTCTTTTAATTTTTTCAATTGGAATTGTGAGTTTTTCATATTTTGTTTTATTTACAACACCAATTCCAATTGTTCTCGAATCGCACGGTACACTAAAAAAAGGTTCAACCTTATTAAATTTTTTTATATGAGCTACACAGTTGTTGTCACATATAGAAAAATCACATACCAAGCCAAACACTCCATCAGTTAACATAACGCAATTATCATATTTTAAATTCGAAATGGAAAAACCACAAAATGTAACACACTGTATGATTTCTTTATTTTTGTTAGAGTAGTGCACCATAGGATATTTCTTGGGAACTTCGTACTTGGTATCTAAATTCCTCTCTTCAAATATTCTGTTAACAAGTTGTTGCAAGTAGTTTCCGGAGTTCTTAAGTTTGCTCTTAATTTTTTGCATGTAATTTTCGTACTTAAAAGCACTAAAATTGTCAAGTGGACCAAATTTTTCAACGTCGTTGGATAAATGGATAAGGTTGTGCACATTATATGATAAATATTCAGTTCCATACAAATCACCATAAGACTTCACAAACCACATTAACAAAGATTGGGCATATCTAATTAAAGTAACACACAATTCAGAATCAATCAGGATTCTTATAGCAACACATAGTGCAAGAAAATGCTCGTAATATATAGGAGGTAATTTTTGGCGTAGAAGTACTGGACCAGTGTACAACAAAAACTGTCGGAACTCTGTTGCTTTCCAATGATCTACTTCTAAAAGGCTCCTGGGTAATCGGGCAAATTCCTTTGTTATTGAACATTTCATATTAACAAAAATTTCTGACATTTGATCTATGTCTTTTAACCGTATGTTTATTTTTCCTTTAACCCAAAATTGTAGCAGTCGCTTCATTACACCTAAACATACAAGGTGCATGTAGTCAAGAGGGACGTGAGAAACCATTCCAATGTTTAATTTTTCAATGCACGATTCTTTAACATGGTGTTCAGGTTGCGCTTTGTTTGCAAAAGACAAATCTGTTCTCAGTGGACTATTTAATTCGGGAAAAACGACTCTATTTTGAACAAAGTCCCCCTCTTGAATACATTTGCTGCATCCAAAGTAACCAGTGTGACTTTTAATTCCACAAATATATGCTTTAGCAGGAGCATCACATATTATAGCATTCAACATAATGTTAACCTTCACTCCATCTATAAATAGACCATTTTTTATTATTGTTAGATACTCCTCAACAAAATGTTGAAGAAAGTCATTAACGTCTACAGGTTTTTTTTTTTCCACAAAAGACTCCAATCAAAAACGGTTCTGTGTTAAAGTTGGTTACCAAGGATCCTAATATTGGCCAAAACTGCTGAGTTGAGCTTTTAGATAACGGTAAACCATCAATGTTTATATTTACACTAAGCGTGGATGGAATGTCACAAAAATATTTCTTTACGGAATGACGAACTCCCGAAGAAAATTGTAGATGTGCATACTGACCCCCTGATAAATTTGACACACAATTAGTTGTATCTTTGGGAGTTTTTAACAATGTTCTAACATCAGATGGCAAATTATGTCCATAATTGCGAAGTATTTGTAGCAACTTATTCACACTGTTGTGTGTAATGTTACATGCAATAACCCAATCAATTAATTCTTTTTTTAATCGCTCATCTCGTTGCTCATCACCTAACAATGCCATGTTAACATTATCACAGTTATGTTCCAAATTGTATGTACTTTCAGAAAGAGAATTTTCATTTGTTATAGAATGTTCATCATTCATTCTGTCATATAAATCTTGCTCAACGATATTGTCATTCAATGAAATATCTAAATTATTTACAGATATATTGTCGAGGATATTGTCGTTAGGTGAGATACTACATATTTCTGTTTGCATGTGACTGGGACATACCCCACTAGAAGGAAGTAATACTTTATCTCCATCACGTTCAGGTTCTGTAGTACGAACCAGTTCTTGCCGTATCAGTTGGTTTTGACGCCTCTTACTCGTCAAATGAAATTCTTTATTGGGCATAATGGTTGTGGTTGTGGATACTGTTCCCGCTCCAGTTCTGTAAGTTAACCCAAATAGTAATGTCTAATGAAAAACAAGTATGTGACAAACAATAGTACTTTATCTAGCTCATAAAGTTATACTTATACCAGATGATGAGTAATTTCAAAGTAAATTGCAGAAAATGGCTTAAATGTGCGTTTGGGGAGAACACTTTTAAACTACCAAACACCACAGTCTGTAAAATAACCTATTCCAAAGATAATATAATACCATTATCGTTGCCTATTCTATAGAACATGACCAAACACTATGTTGTATGAGATGTACTACACTTCGTTGTGTCATTGCTCGAATAGTCATTATAGACCAGGAGTCGGAAGGTTATGTGTGTACGATTTGCCTCATTTCTAGACTTTGGAGGCTGATAGCCATTATCGATACCTCAATTTGGCTTCCAGTCTATAAGCACTTCTAGTCCTGAAAGCTTTCAAATGAACCACAAACTAATTGCACATGACATTGCATGCATCAAAAGAACGTACACACTTGCACAAGTGAAAATGAGACAAAGTCGAGACAAAATTGAGGACCACATCAGCTTATCATACTTGAATTTTATCCCTCTGCACAAAAGCTATACATCCATTCTTGTATTTAATTTACTCATTTGGAATAATATGAATCACTGCATTACTGAGCATTATGTATAGATTATTCGATATAAGGTACCGAAAGTAAAATTAACATATTAGCATAAATGTTTAACTATTAATATGGTAATATACATACCTGATAATAATCGAAATATAAATGAACACAAAACAAACAAAATAATAAAAATAACACGAGACACGAGTTAAAACCAGGTTAAAACACAAGCTAACCTAAAACTTTTTTGTTCTGTTGCCCGGGTGGGAAAAACAGAATTATGAACGTAGTAACGTAGCTACATTTATGTTATATTGCATCTATGAACTGCTGGTTATACAGTAATATCGTAACTAACTTACGTTGACGGTATATTTATTTTTAATATAAATTGAACTTACTTATTTAACATATAACCACAACGTAAGTGTGTTACATATTTGCTATACAAATTATTTTTAAAAGTTACGTTACGGTGTAGTAAATGAAATGTAACAGTTATGTAGTATAATATTCATAGTTGTTCATTGTACTGGTTTTGTTGCAACAATGTTTATGTTACATGTAAAATCTTATATAACATGTCACTCTAGAGTTACATTACGGCAATAGACAGTGTTTGCTGGGTTATTTAGGCCACGATGTGTCCATACACAAAGAATCAGTTTGATCTCAAACAAGCGGCCATACTTTAAAAAGCACAGCGCCCCTCTCTTGATGTGTGTGCTATTGGCGAATTGTGTTTAGGCAATAGTCTCCAGAATAGCAATGGAAAAATGTATCTAGATTGGAGCTAAAAACTTATGTTGGTTTAAAGAAACAAAAGGTTACAGACATAAACCTGATAATCCACCCTGATGGTTAGGCAACACACATTTTACATCTGAAACAAAAATATAATATGCTCTGTATATAACCAACGACCGTTTTGCGCAGATGCCGAATAGTAGGGGATTTTCGTAACGAAGCGAGGAGAATGGGGGGAAGATGGCGGCGAGGTCGACGGAAGGCACACGCTTTCCCGGTTTTTTTTTATTATTCTTGATTATTTTTGGTGATGGTGTTTTGAAGATGTATTTACAGGTAGTAACCATTTTATTCTTTCTTGTACTAGATATTTAATCATTGAATTTCTTGCCACAATGTGATATTTACATTTTGCTGATTTTGCATAAACTACGATATCTGAATCATGGCGTACCCCATGCCTTTGTTTCGTGTACCGTTAGATGAATCATGTTTGTGTAATACTGTACAGATGATTATGCCATTATTTTGTTTAATTAAGTATTTACTTCTGTTATTTATGAGGAGTTGATTATCGGTGTGATGTTGCTCTGTTCGATTGACCCGTAACTATTCCGTGAGGGAAGCACCTAATACAGTTTGATTGTTCGCTGTATCTATTACTTTCTGTTTCGTGGCTCGCTACAGTTCTTGTGCGTTAGCTATACGAAGGGGGGCTCTTTTATTTGATGTTTCGATGTTTGTGTGTGCGAGTGGGTATTTCTGTCTCCGTGGAGTAGGTACCTAATGCAGTTAGATCTTTCGCTGTATCTGTTGCCTACTCGTCTCGTGCGGATTGTAGTTCTTAACATCTTAGCAATACGAGTGGGGGCCCTCTCATTGAAATTTCCTCTATTTAAAATATGTTCTGCTTGAGCGATAATTGATTTTCACATGAATACTTGCTATTGACCAATGGCATTCTCACATGTACTTTTCGTGTTAAATTAAATTATGTTAACTGAAGGATGGAGTAGAGCCACTCCATTTACATGTTTCCTATGTACATGCAATTTGTTTATTTGACGAGTTGTGTTATCTCTATTGATCGTACAGGTATTTTGATGTGTTTTTGTACTGAATTGATTTATCATGTTTTCCACTCCATTTATGATGTCTTGTGATTCTGATTTTATGAACTTGTTTAATTGCATTTGATTTGATTATCTGATTTTTATCATACCATTTGAGATGTTTTATTTATGTGTATTTTCTCTTGCAATTTATTGCTGTAGGTGATTTATTTCATGTATTTGTGTGGCCTATGCCAGGGTTTTTAGTCCCGTAGAAGGTTTTCCTGGCATGGTCTTGTGTGTGCGTTAATATATTTATTTGATCTTGTCATTTCTTACGCACAAAAGTTCTGTCTTTTATTTAATTCCCTTCCCGATTATGTCTCACGTCCCAATACATAAAAGAACCGATTACACAACGTAGGAGTCCATTCGTGCCACCCATATCGAGCCGACTGTCATCCAAATTCAAAAGTGCCGCGAGACTACCATCGTTTCGACTTGAAAGATAGGTGGCTCTGCTTGTAGTTTTTGCCAGAGTTGCCAACCGTAAGTATAGGGTAAGTCAACGTTTTCCGTGTCGGCTTGATAGACCCCCCTAGGAACATTACAACCTTATTAGTTAGAAGAACTTACGTTAAACAAACACTGAAACACAACAGCACACACAATTATTACAAAAACTAAAAACAAATTAACAAACGCGTGCTTAGCAAAATTGGCGCAAAGAGAAAGCGAGGTTAGGTACTACTTGCAGTTTTCTACAACAGGCCTTAAAGCCGTCTTACACTATGCAATTTGTTGGGCAAGATATATTGCAAAATTTAAATTGCACAGTATCATACAAAAAATTGCACGAAAAGTTAAATTGCATGAAATAATTGCACCGAAAATAGAACAGGTGCTAATTTTTATTCAATTTTCAATGCAATTTGAAAATGCACATGCGCCAAACATCAGCTGTTTGAGAAAACGTGGGCGCGTTTGTTTTGTTTTGCGTTTAAGTGTTTAAAGTGTGTGAAAAACTGAAAATGTCGTGGACACATGAACAAATTGGAGCCCTTATAGATTTATATAAACTGCATCCATGTCTTTATGTGGTAAAAGACAAAAATTACCACAACAAGCATGCTAGAAACGCAGCCCTTCAGAACATTGTTGAGGATATTAAGCATATAATACCATCCACTACAGAAGCGGATATCCAAAAAAAATTTCATGGATTAAGGACGACGTACGCCAACGAAAGGAGAAAATATTTATCCAGTATACGTAGTGGAATGGGAGAAAATGAGGTAAGTCACCATTATGTGTACATGTCACGTAAAATGCTTAAAACACGTTCAACCCCGCTATATTTTATATTAACGTCTTTTTTGTACTATTTGTTTTAACTAATTGAAATTCCGTTTACCTTTCTTAACCAATTAACCGACACGCGAACCTACGATAAAATGGATTTCCTAGATGATCACCTCGCCATAAGAAAATCTAACTCAAACTTCGTATTGCCCGAGGAAGCTAATGATGCGTCGCAGGAGGAAGATTTAGCGGAATCGTCAATGAATGAAACCGTAAGTTATTTTATTACGCTTGAAATATACCTACAATAGATTCATTATAAGTTTTATTTTTGTATATGCACCATTATTCTATACTTTTAGATTGTTTAGGAATATGAAATGGATGAACAAGGAGTATTAACGCCCCTATCCCCTGAGATGCAGTCAGAATCAAGGCCGTCAAGTAGTATTAGGAAGAGAGGTTTTCCAACTGATACCAGACCATCATCTGTAGGAAGTGGATCATCTTGCCCTCAAGATGATGTGGAGCCAGGACCTACTGGGCTGAAAAAAAACCATCTGTAGGACGTGCAACAGGAAAGAGGAAAAATACAGAAGACCCAGATTTAAAGGTACTAGAGGCTGTGTCTACAAGCCTCGGGGGGCTCTACAACGCTCTTAAAGTAGATAACCGAAGTGCCGAAGATATATTTGGAGAGTTTGTGAGTGCTCAACTGAAAAAAATTAAAGACGAGAACACAAAGCTGACTGTGCAGTATAATATTCACACATTGTTACATGAGGCATTATTCAAATAGTATATGTATTATAATATACATGAATATGATAGATGTATCGGTTGCAATTCTGTTTTAATACTTAAATTAGCCCAATTGACTTATTTGGCCAATCAACACGTCCTACATTATTAAAATATTCGCAAAACTTTTCCCTTGTGAGCAGAGCCTCTTTTCCCGCTCTCAATCCGCCTTGCCGAGGTATGTTTTCTAAGGCACATATTTCATTCGTTTCTGTGGCTATTTGGGTGTATCTCTTCGATTTTACAACCAAAAAATTATGCAATGTACAACATGCTAAGGTAAGTATTTCGGCCTTTTCGGGGCTTAAATTTATTGTGTTTTGCAAAATTCTAAACCTGTTTGTTAAGATTCCAAACACATTTTCAACTGTTCGTCTTGCCCTTGACAGTCTGTAATTAAATATTCGTTTTTCCACAGAAAGTCCCCTTAAAGGATATGGTTTCATTATTCTTTTGGATAGCGGGAATGCATCATCTGCCACAATAACAAACGGCACAGTTAGGTTAGTTCCTGGTAAATTGGAATCCTGTGGAAAGTTTAAGAGACCTCTCTCGATACCTTTCTTTAAACTACTTTCTCTGTATACTCCACCATCACTGATTCTCCCATTAACTCCAACATCTACGTATAGAAACTTTAGTCGGGTCTAGTTTTGTGAAAATCGCAATGCAAGAAGCATTTCATGTAACAATTGAGTTAACACCGGTTCCCCCCTATTTCGCCCCCGCCGAATCCGAATATGCCATTTGCCAACTCGAAATTTCAACCGGAAGTGAGATATTCAAGATGGCGTCCAAAATAGCGCCAAATTTAAGTGTTTTTTTTGCTTTTGGTCATATGTGTGCGATCCAAGTGTCTATCCCTAGGTTTTTTGGGGCGTAGAACACGATTAAATACTTAAAAATAAATTTGGTTAAGAAAATCACCATTAAAAAGTCATATTTTAACAAAATTTCACCAATATTAACTAAAAAAATCATTTTTTTATCGAAATGTGTAGAAAATTATGTGCTGTGTCTGAGGGGATTTAGAGCATGTTTAAATGCTCAAAATTATTTTAAACAAGTGTTAAAGGACTTTTATTTTCTGAATTCAATTGACATTAATACTCGTCATTCATCGTCATCGTCACCTGCCCCATTCAAGCACTTTGCTCTGCACTTACACAGTTTTGTGCAAGGGACCCAGGGCTCCTTCCTACACCCACACTGCTTTGTGTTACACAGTCACTAAGCGTAGATGCTCGCCAGAGTCTATCTGACACACTATGCACTTTGTTTTATCAAGTTTCACAGATTTTGATCGAGTGACTTTCTTTTCTGATGTTTCAATCGGTTTGTCTTTCTTCGTCAATAAGTGTTTTTTAAGCGTCTCGATCTTAACTTTGGAAGTGAATGTTGCGTAGCAACCTTTGTGTGTCACAAAACTATTTTCACATTGGGTGCCATTGAGATTTTGTAAAATCCTGAGGATGGCTTCACTAAATTTGCAGTCATATGCCGCTTTGCGCTGTTCAGCACATTCAATCAGCTTGGTTCGACCATCACTTGTCAAATTCGAAAGTTGTTTTTGCTCTTCTTTACCACCTTTGCGTACTTGGCATATTAGGCACAAATTTTGGTTAACAACGGCCGGTTCGTTAGAATTACTATTGTTGTCGTCCATTATTACTATTTGCAAGAAAACCTGAAAAGAAAGCAATATTTTTCACTCTTAAAA